GAGATTTACTATGTGCTGGACCTGGAGGCAGACACTTTACAAATTTCTCAAATTTAATCCTCACAACTGTGGAGCTAGTTAACTCAGATTATACAGATGAGATCAAGTTATTAAGTGGCTATCACAGTCTGATGGCACTGTGACAATGGGTGAGTGGCCGGGCAGGGCTCAGTGACAAATGACACTCAAAATGCGACAAGTGCTCTTGCTGCTGCCAAAGATTCTTCAGGCCAGAAAGGGTCTTGGCTCTGTTCTGTGAGTGTGCATGTGTGTATGTAGAGAGAGGGCTCTATGATTTCAGCCAGAACATTTCCTCTATTGCAGCCAAGAGTCATGCCTCCATAGCCTCCTGCTTTAGTTCCTTCCTAATAATGTTGCTGCCCAGAGGTAACAGAACCACAAGCTTTAAAAATTCCTGGTTGTAGCCACAGAGCTAGCTCCTTCCCTGGATATTTAATGGACAGACAGCCCTTAACCCGCAGTGTTCTTTGGCCATAATATCATCACAAAGTTATGAAAGGGTAAGTTCTTCCCCTAATGTCTAACTTGCATAACTGCTGTGATCATTTTGGAATGATAACATTGAAGGGACAAGAGGTGGACCGGGTCTCTGCTCTTGAAACCTCTCTGTACCCTGACACTCTCAGTAAGCCAGTGGATCTGTGGGAGGAGGCAAGGGCAGGAGAGCTAGAGAAAGCTGTCGGCTGCTGTTCTGCTACAGCCCTGACATGTTCTCATTCTTGGCCAATTAAACCTTTCAGCACTCCCAGCCACCAATATACAGATTTTAGTTTTCTCATTTAGATTGTAATCATAAAGAACTTGAAGGAAAAAGAGGGAGGGGGAAAGCTTGGATGTTATGGAGGGATTTCCGGGTCTGACTACAGAGACATAAAATACTTTCAATACTCCTCACCCCCTCCCAACCATACACACACACACAAACACACACACACACACACACACACTCTCTCTCTCTCTCTCTCTCTCTCTCTCTCTCTCTCTCTCTCTCTCTCTCTCTCTCATATACCTTTCCTCCTGGGCCCCCAGAACCTAATTTTTCACGTTTGGAAAACCCAGATGATTTTTGCCTGGGTCCATCTGGTTTTCCAAATAACCTGTCTTTTTGATAAATAGCATAAGTTAGACAAGACAAACAAAGAGAGGGGTGCGCAGTCCGCTTTTTTCCTTCCTTCAGCCTCTGAGAAAAAGAGATGGGGACTGGAAAACCTACAGGACTCACTCCCAATCCTGACCCTGCACCTTCCACCCCTTAGATTGGGCCCAGTGATTCTCCAGCCTGGAGCTGAGAGCTGCCTCTTCACCCCCACCTCTACCCCACCAGCCATCAAGAATACCAGACTGTGGTTCCTTCTAAAATGAAGGGAGGACTTCCCTGGTGGTCCAGTGGTTAAGAATCCACCTTCCAATGCAGCGGATGCGGGTTCAAGCCCTGGTTGGAGAACTAAGATCCCACACGCTGTGGGGCAACCAAGCCCGTGCACTCTAGAGTCCTTGCACCACAACTAGAGAGAAGCCCGCGTGCTGCAGTGAAGAGCCCAAGCGCTGCAATGAAAGATCCCATACGCCACAACTAGAGAGAAGCCTGAGTGCCGCAACTAGAGAGAAGCCCACATGCCCCAACAAAATATCCCACATGCTGCAACTAACACCCGACGCAGCCAAAAGATAAATAAGTAAAAAATAAGGAAAATAAAGAAAATAAAAAAAAAAAAGAAAGAAGTCCATTTGAAAAAAAGGGGGGAAAGGCTCTGAAGCTTTGTGTAATGTGAATGGAGAACAGTGGATGATAGGAGGTTGGGAGGCACAACTATGTCATGGAGGGTCTTGTAGTTTGAACTTAATCCTGAGTGCACTGGAAGACAGAAGAGGTTTTGAGTGAGGGAGTGGCGTCCTCCTATTTAATTATGCAAATATCGCCCTTTGGCTGCTGTGCACAGATTGGATGGAAAGGAAGCAAAAATGGGAGTGGGGAGATCAGGAGGCTACTGCCAACACCCTGGCAAGAAATTATGGAATCCTGGATTAGGGCAGGTGATTCAAGATGCAATCTGGAAGTAGAAATAACAAGATTTAGAGATTGCTTGATTATGGGAGTAAGGAAGGAGGGATCGAGAATGTCCTTTGGGTTTCCAGCCTGAGTGACTGGGTATGTCGAGGTACCTTTTAGTGAAATGGGAAACACAGGAGGAAGAGCACGTTTTTAGAGAAGGAACATCACATTTTTAAAGATGTCAAGTTTGAGATGCTTATGAGACAACAGGCCTTTGAGGAGTGGTCCACAAAACATGATGCAGTTGTAATATTGGCAAATCCATATGCTTGCAGAGTAGTGTTCGACATAATGCATCCACATACATCTTCCAACAAGCCTCACAGCAACTCTGAGACAGGCATGAATGACTATCCTCATTTTATAGATATAAATGGAGGCTCTGAAAGGTTTGGTATTTTTCATTCACCCTTACAGGGCAATTCCACATTCCAGACCATGTGCCAGGCAGTGAGTAGGACACAAAGGTAGAGGATATAATGCCATCTCAGGGATGATACAATCAGAGAGTATCATGACAATATTCCTCCCAGAAATACTCTCCCCTATTCTGAGGTGTACAAGCCCCACTTGGGGGACAGGAAGCCCCAAGAGATATTACATATATCTCTGGGAGCTAAAACCCTGAAAACACTCACATTGAGCCATTAGAGATTCTCAAAGTGGGTTAAAGTTTGTAGAGAGGCAGTTGAGAATTTGCACAGGAAGCTGAGTACCTTGTCTCTACAGCGCTTTGGTGAGTATAACCTGATGCTTTATGGAAGAGACCCTAGTATGGTTTGTGCAGCTGTGGACTGAATTGTTTAAATGAAGTAAATACCATGTGTCCCTACCTCAGCGTGTGGAACACAGAGGAGGTGAAAGGACTGACACTGAGCACCCTCATCGCCCAGACTCACATGCTCTCATCCCTCCAGGCAGATAATTTCCAAGCTAGTGAAGCTGAGTCCTAGCAGGAGCCACAGCACAGGCCCTGGGCTTCAGTTTCACTAGAATGGAGCTGAAGCTGGAGGCTCAGTGCTCTGGGCACAGGTCATATGGTCAGGTCCCGACTCTCCACCTCAATCTTATTACCAAGGCTTAGCTTGCCTTCTGACAGCTACACTGACATGGGGAAAAGCGACCCAGAGCTTAAGACTCAACTTTTCTTTCTCCAAAGAGTGCTTTCTTTCTGGAGCCTAGAATAGAAACCCTTTGCTCCCTAGATTTCTCAGGCACTGATTTTCTTATCCTTAGTGGTCAATCCTAATACTCTTCTCCATCTCTCCCTGCCAAAAAAGGATACGGGAAAGCAAAAGGGGAGAAATATCCAGCCCTCCTCCCTAGTTCTCTATTGCTTAGCAAGGGCTGCCTAGCCTTGGCCACTGTTTAGGGAGCTCAAAGGGAGGGGCAATAATGCCCACCTTGGACCCACGTCTGCCAATCAAAGGGCTATAACAACAGGCACCATTTATGTAAATTCTCCTCACCTGCCCTGAACCCAAACCACTTGGTTAGTTAATGCGATCAATTCACCAGAGTTGGGAAGACAGTGAGGGGACAATGGCAGCAGCCTCTCACTCCAGTCCCAGAGGCCTCCCCTGAGAGACAGATACCCTGAAAACAAAATGCTCAACATTAGACAGGCTCTGACCTAAGAATGAGCATTCAATCTGGACAGCAAATCCTGCCTTCAAGGCATTGGGATTTATTGAAAAACTACATAACATATTAAAACATTTTCACCATTTATATACATTTTCACCATTACAAGATTACAAATATACAAATGTAAATTCCATCAAAGTCAGCATCTTGCATATTACAAACAACTGTAGAAAACCTATATCCTAATTCCACCAGTTAAACTGGTATTCCTTATCTGCCAGTGAAAAACTGGCACAGTTCATCCAGCTTCCCAAGTCCAGCTCCTGAAAGTGAAACCACAGTATTTACATGAAATGTTTTTCCAAAGCAGCAGTGACACTTGGTTCTGAGAGGAAGAAAAAAAAATCTATCTAAAACTCTGACAGCCTCATGGTAGTTCAGGGAAAATCGGGAGTGGTGGCAATCCTAACAATATTTTGATGAAACTCCAAGATGATCTTTTCTCAAAATAAGTAATGAAGTATTAAATTGTCCTCTGCTCAGGGGACAAACTCAACCCAGTTTAATGCAATAAATAATGATTATATATAACTTCCAGTCAGAATGAGAAGGAAGGTCCTTGAGCAACACTGCTTCAAATCGAAAATTTAGTCCTAAGAGAGAGCTCTCTGCCCCACGGAATATCTAATGTCGACGGACACTGGATGTAACCTTTTATCTTCATCCTCATACTCCAGGAAAGTTGCTCTCTCTGACCTGGGTACCAGTTTGAGTCCTTATTACAAAGGAAGCACAGGTTAATTGGAAATTTGAGACTGCACTGGGAAGAGGCATAAATGAAAATGGAAGGGGCAAAACTAATAAAACAGCCCATGTGTCGATTCCTAGGTCCTCTAAGAAGTCTCTCTTTCACTAAGTCCTGGTCAACATGGTGCAGATCATAGGGGTGTGAAGGAGTCATCCCAGTTTTGACGTTCACTGCTGTCTCTAATTTTCTGTCATGCCACACTTTTTCTTCCTCCAATCACCCCTTTCACCAAAAGTTATCAACCCAGGAAGCTGCTAGGATAAAATGTCAAATATTTAATGGAGGACACCCAGGTATCCCACAAGTTGATGTTGTAAACACTGAAGAATTAAGTTAGTGGCCAACCCAGGAAGTAATACTAGGAAAGAGATGTCCAGAGCCATGCAGTGGAAAGAACTGGAATCTCTGTCCTCAACCTTAATGCACTGATTATGAAGGAAGGGGGGATAATCCACATGAGCATCAATTCCAACCTTCAACGCCAGAAACTTCTCAACGAAGTCTCAACACAGGTGCCGGTGCCCTGTGGTATTAGCTTTCCAAGTATCTGAAGATGCTTTGCTTCGATCCTGAAGCGCTATCATCTGTTTTGAGGCGCTTAGGTGAAGGGGATGTCATTAAAGACAGACCCCTTCTCCTTACCTAGAGAGCAGAGAAAGAGCCAACTCAAGACCTTCATACAAGTACTTAGCTTCACTTAGCCCTTAAGCAGCTCATAGTTAAATCATGGATCATTAGAAAAAAAGAAATAGAAATTTTCCAGGCAAGTTTCAAAGCTGATTACTTACTGCAGGTAGCAATCCCCTTGTACCTTATTGGGAGTGCAAGATTAACACTGCAGCATTTAAGCCTTTAAGCCAGAAATATATGTATATTTTCAATTCAATTCAATCCAATCCAATCCAATCCAATTCAATTCATTCATTCATTCATTCACTCTGCTGTGGAGAGTCACCAAATCAGTTCTCAAATTCCCTACCCGAGGCTTAGATGATTCCTTTGCTGCCTCAGCCTTGACAGGAGAAAGTGTGTGGAAGACAAAGTTTCTTGAATTTCGGGGAGCACTAGGGTTGAGGTCAGACAGGGCAGCCAGTTTCTGAAGCACAGCTTTGGGCTGGTTTAGCAGTGAGCCCGTCTTCAGCTGAGGAAAGAAGAGTCATCAAATTCCTGGTATCAAATTCCAAGTGCCAAGGGAAGAAAGAGAAGTCAGCGCCTCTCTGCCTCCACCAGGTATTGAGGGGACACAGTCCTACCCTGCTCAAGTAGAAAAGAAATGGTAGGCTCCTTTGACACCTACTTCCATTTCTTGCAGCCACCTCCCTCCCCTAATGAAAGAGCATTCCCTTAACTTGACCTGGGCCTTTATAACACTGAAGATCATGACATCAGGCTAACAAGGTCCCCAACCAACCTGGTTGTCACTTCCCGGTTTGGTGGCTTCAAAAGGATTTCTGAATAAAGACTCTGATTCTTGAATAACCACAGTGCGACTGACTGAAAAGAAAAGACAGAGAGGCTTGTTCTGGACAAAGCTGCGTAGAATTACTTTTAAATCTAAACAAGCTAACAAGCCTTTAACTAAACCAATAAACTAAAGCCATAGGAACTCTGATTATTTTATAATCATGACTTGAAAGTACACTTAAGTGGTTTAAGAGAAGACAGACAACTCAGCTGAACTTATTGTCTAATTAACAGTAATAATAAGAAAAAACAAGAGTGGTAAGAGCGTTAAGGAGTGTTTAAGAGCTTCAGCTCTGGGGTTAGGCATATCTGGGTTCAAATTCCAGCTCTAACACTTAAGTATATAATCCTGGGCAACTGAATAAAGAAGCCAGAATTCAATCCTCTGAGCTGCCTTAGAACATAAAGCAAAACCAGCTACATATACTCACAATCACAAAGTCGATACTGCCCAGTAGTCTAAGATGGAAAGAATACTGTCTCTCCCCATCTGAGGGACCTCTTGAAGATAACATTAGACACTGGCCCATGAGTAAGCCGCACCAGCCCCTGAAGGCTGGAGTCACCTATAAGGCTCCAGCACTAACAATCCCGGGGGCCAGACCCTGAGGAGGACTAAGAGCTCACCATTCTTCTGCAGAGCTTTGGCTGTAACTTTCTTGGCCAGCATCATAAACTGACTATCTTCCCCAATGTCCTCTTCTTCAGCTGCAATTTTCCCCTGCTGTGCCTGAAAATAAAAATCAGACAGCATTAACAGAAGCCCACAGCTCCCCCAAATAATTAGTATAGCCTGGAAGCTAGAGTACTTGGGACAGCATTTGTTTTCCTTTTTGCAACTCTTTGTTGCTTTAGACAAAAAAAAAAAAGGATTTTGGACAAAAACATGACTAGAACTGCCCACGGTAACCTTCTCAAAGCACAAAAGAAAATTCAAGGATTAAAAGGGACAGCAGGGCTTCCCTGGTGGCGCGGTGGTTGAGAGTCCGCCTGCCGATGCAGGGGACACGGGTTCGTGCCCCGGTCCTGGAGGATCCCAAATGGCGTGAAGCAGCTGGGCCCATGGGCCGTGGCCGCTGGGCCTGCAGGTCCGGAGCCTGTGCTCCGCAGCGGGATAGGCTACAACAGTGAGAGGCCCGCGTACCGCAAAAAACAACCAAAAATGGGGACAGCAATATATTGCCCAAGATTTTGACGACTATCATGACAAGCTGGGTGACGGAGTGACCTCATAAGTAGGGTCGGAATAGGAGAATTTCTTGCAGGCTTCCTACCTGGTCCCGAAGCCACTGCTCTCGTTCAATTCGCTCCTTCCTCCATCTGGCTTCTGTCTCATCAAGCTGTTCTTCAGTCTGATCATCATCAGAGTCTCTGTGGAACAAGTCCATCTGGGAAGCATCATCTAAAGCAAAGAGTTAAGGCTATTAGCACTCTGCACTCCCCACAAGAGAGGGTGTCTCAACAGACACAAGTGAACCCTTTTCATTTACAATATACTGACACAAGCTTTTCCTATCCATTAACAGAAAATAAAGGTCAAGGCAAGGTCCTCCACAGCTGCCTGCTATAGTTTTGATTTCCTCTTGCTGTCTTAAACTGGACAAACATGTACCTTTGTACAATTTGCTTCTAAAGGCAACAATCAAAATACCTATGTTCTTCCATCGGAATTTCCTCATTCGTCCAGGACCATCACTGTGCAGGTCCCCATCAGCAAGGTACCTTTCTTGGTACAAACGTAACTGTCGCTTATCATCATCCAACATTGTTTTCCTACAACAGGAAAAATATGGTGTTCAAAACCAGGACCACTCTGGCTGGTTATAGGGCCTGCTTTAAGACACACCCCATTCATTATTCAGAAGGGCTTGCTGGGATACTGACATGTGTATTTTCTTGATTTGACTCTGCAGTTCCTCATCAGAAGGAAGTAATTCATCAATTACATCCTCTTCATATTCATCAAGCTCTTCCCCATCATACTCATCTTCACTTCCCACGTCACTCCCTGACACCTCTGCCTCATCCTCCAGGTATTTCTTCAATCTCCTGGAAAATTGAAAATTAGAAAATACAACAATGAATATACACACAGCAATGAGAAAAGCAGAACACAGAGCCATCTCTAATAATAAGATTAAATTAATAATAATAATAAATTTTGATAATACTTAAAAGTCTATTATTTAATATATACTGTGTGCCAATAACTGTGCTCTGGAGCATTACTGCGTTATCTCAGGGAGGGGTATTATTATTCCTTTCAATTTTCAGTTGAAGGAACTGAGACTCAGAGAGTAAACAACTTACCAATGGTCCCATAGCTAGCTGGGAGGCAGCAGAGCCTGGATTCAACCTAGGTTGGTGACTCTAAAGCCAGGACTCTCAATCTCCTCTATATATTTGGGACATACCTGCCAGAAGGTTCAAACTATTTTGTCTTGTATTTAAGCTTACCAGCTTCAGGAGACAGACTAGAGATAGTATAGTATGGAAAGGTAATAGACTGTAGTCTTCTTACAGCCCGCCAAATCTTGACCCTCAAGTTAGAAGTATGACTGAAGCTCAGAGTTAGTAGTCATCAAAACCACTACAAGTTAGTTTTTCTGACTTCAGCTTACATCGAGAACAAATCTGCTGTCATCTGAGTTCAAAGTGCTGTCACCTATGGTCATGAGTGGCAGAAGCTTGATGTCTTTCTGAAGGCTGATTTTTTTTTTAATAAATTTATTTATTTATTTATTATTTATTTATTTTTGGCTGTGTTGGGTCTTCGTTTCTGTGCGAGGGCTTTCTCCAGTTGCGGCGAGCGGGGGCCACTCTTCATCGCGGTGCGCGGGCCTCTCACTGTTGCGGCCTCTCGCTGTGGAGCACGGCTCCAGGCATGCAGGCTCAGTAGTTGTGGCTCACGGGCCCAGTCGCTCCGCGGCATGTGGGATTCTCCCAGACCAGTGCTCGAACCCGTGTCCCCTGCATCGGCAGGCAGACTCTCAACCACTGCACCACCAGGGAAGCCCCGAAGACTGATTTTTTATGAAAGACTTCCATTATTATTTTAAAGCTGAGTTCCTCTAACTCCTAGGGTTCCTGAGGAATTCCTTCAGGGGCCAATAGCCACTAAGCTTCTCAATCTTCCCATCTACCCTCTTTGAGCAGTTCAATATTTAGCTGCGATTCTTTGTAAGATTTCATTTGAACAAAGGACTCTATAGTTAAATAAGGTTTAAGAACCATTGCCTTAGAAAAAAAATCTATAGATGGCCCAAAGCTGTATGAATAGTTAATTTGACAGGTGACAAATTAGAAGCCCAAACTGATCTCAACAGAATGGAATGATGGGCTAAAAACAACAAAATAAATCTAATAAGGATCAATATGATGTCCTATATTTTAATTCCAAAAGTCATCCACAAATAATAAAATGCAGAATACCTATTAAAATGGTTTTTATAAACCCTTCAATATCAAGGAAAAAGGCTTACAGATATGGTAAGTAGGAAAAAAAAGCAAGATGCAAAATTGTGCATACAAAAAAAAAATGTACAGATCTCAACCACATAAAAATATATGCCTGAAAAAAGTTATGAGGTAATAATAACCACCACCACCACTTTCAAAAATATCCTGGACGGCAGACATGGATGACTTTTTTTTTTTTGGCTGCGTTGGGTCTTTGTTGCTGCACACGGGCTTTCTCTAGTTGCGGTGAGCAGGGGCTACTCTTTGTTGTGGTGCGCGGGCTTCTCTTTGCAGTGGCTTCTCTTGTTGCAGAGCACGGGCTCTAGGCATGCGGGCTTCAGTAGTTGCAGCACTCGGGCTCAGTAGTTGTGGCTCTCAAGCTCTAGAGTACAGGCTCAGTAGTTGTGGTGCACAGGCTTAGTTGCTCCGTGGCATGTGGGCTTGTCCCGGACCAGGGATCGAACCTGTGTCCCCTGCATTGGCAGGTGGATTCTTAACCACTGCACCACCAGGGAAGTTCCTGGATGACTTTTTATTTATGTCTTTCTGTATTCTTTGAAATATTCCAAAATAAATGGCTTACTTTCATGATCAAAACGACAACAAAATATTAAAAAAATAAAGGGGGGTCATTTGCCTGAGACTAGGATGAGGAAAACCTGGAACGACAGTAATTCACAGGAAAAAAGACATGGGGAATTTTAGTGATCTACAAGATCCTCAGGATCTACAGTGACTCAGCTCTTATGCTCTTTGGTTACTTTATAAAGTAGTATGCAACCAGAACAAGGGATGTGGTTGTACCACTACACAGAGCGGTGGTCAGACTACACCTGAAGATAAAGAGAGTTTCCATACATGTGAGGAGTCTGGAAGCAATGTCACGTGAGAAACAGCTGAAGAACTAGGGATGTTTAGTATAGGAATCACTTGAGGAGGACGTGACCATCTTTGAATACTCAAGAGATATCATGTAAATGGTTTTTACAATCTGTGTTAACCACAAAAAGCAAAAATAGAACCAGCAAATGTAGCAAGCTACAACTCAACTGTCAGGAGAACTTTCTTGCAACTGAAGGAAGGGGTATAACACCTACATTTGCCTTTTCAACTTCTCGGATTGCTGCAGGAGGTCTTCCTCATCATTATCTTCATGGTCTTCTAGTGCTGGGTCTTCATTGTCAGAGTCACTGTGTTCATCCTACAAGATCATATAGTATCACATGCAAAGTTACACAGAACAAAATGTGTCCTCAACTAAGACAGGAATTTATAAACTTCTGCCCAAACATTTCATTCTAGGAAATTGCTTCTGATAACATGTCAAACAGAATTCTCAAGAACTCAACTACAAAACAAGCAAACACAGCAGCAATACATGGAGTTCGGTTATGATTACTCTATCCCCTTCAAACTCACCTCATCACTATCAAACTCATTATCATTTGGGACAAGCTGAAAGTCTCCAAATTCCTCCTCTTCACCTTCTTCTTCCCTAAAATGCAAATCAACAGATCAATAAAAGAGTTGAAAGCAAACTACAAGCAGTCAGCCAACTTAGGAATTGAAAGTATTTTATAGCACCAACAATCTCTTCAAGAAACAGGAAACGAGATATCTTGCCTTTAAAAAAATTTTTTAAATTGTGATAAAATATACACAACATAGTTTACTATCTTAACCATTTTAAGTGTACAGTTCATTAGTGTTAAGTACATTCACATTGTTATGCAACCAACCTCCAGAACTCTTCATCTTACAAAACTAAAACTCTATACCCTTTCAATAGCAACTCCCCATTCTTCCCTCCCCACAATCCCTAGCAACCACCCTTCTACTTTGTGTCTACGAATTTGACTACTCTAAGTACCTCATGTAAGTGGAATCATACAGTATTTGTCTTTTTGTGACTAGCTTACTTCACTTAGCATAACCTCCTCACAGTTCATCCATGCTGTAGCATGTATCAGAATTTCCTTCCTTTTTAAATGCTGAATATTATTCCACTGTGTATGTATCCACTTGGGATGCTTCCACCTTTTGACTATTACGAATAATACTATGAACATGGGTGTACAAATATCTATTACAGATGCTGTTCTCACTTCTTTTGTGTATATAGCCAAAAGTGGAATAACTGCTGGGTGTGAGGTAGTATCTTATTATGGTTTTGATTTGCATTATCTTTTCTTTTGTAAATAAATTTATTTATTTTATTTATTTTTATTTTTGGCTGTGTTGAGTCTTCACTGCTGCGCATGGGCTTTCTCTAGTTGCGACGAGCATGGGCTACTCTTCGTTGCAGTGTGCGGGCTTCTCATTGCGGTGGCTTCTCATTGCAGAGCACGGGCTCTAGGAGCGTGGGCTTCAGTAGTTAGAGCACGCAGGCTCAGTAGTTGTGGCTCACAGGCTCCAGAGCACAGGCTCAGTAGTTGTGGCGCATGGGCTTAGTTGCTCCACAGCATGAGGGATCTTCCCGGACCAGGGCTTGAACCCATGTCCCCTGCATTGGCAGGTGGATTCTCAACCACTGCGCCACCAGGGAAGGCCCTGCATTTTCTTAATTATTAGTGATGTTGAGAACTTTCATGTGCTTTTTCTTGCCTTTTTTTACCCTGTTCCCCACCAACTAAATGAAAGCATTATAATTTCCTTACTATGCAAATATGAGACTCAAACAGACTGCAAGGCTCTCAGACAGGATATGAAGCCCCTAAGATGACCATTTATTCCTGAGCCCAGAGAACCTACCCCAGTATTTTATCAGAACACCAGACTTGCCAAGTTCCCTCCAATCACTGAGACTCACCTGTCTGTTGGGAAAGAGCCTGAGCAAAGAGCAAGTGCTTCTTCCATTGGATCACCCAGACTGTTCTCCTTCTCCTGCTTATTTAACTCTGATGGAGCCAGAGTAGAGACATCTACATCACAATGAAGAAAAAGATTTGTCACCAAGAAATGACAGCTTTATCCTCTCTCCCCAGCCATCTGAAGACATGCCGGCTCAACACAGTTCTAAGGTAAGCTTGCCAAAAAGAGCTCACCATTCATTCATTCATTCAACAAATCCTTATTTAGTGCTTACTATGTGCCAGGCGCCAGGAAGACAGCAGCAAACAAAACAAAGATCGCAGCTCCCAAACAGCTTACATTCTAGCAGAGGTGTGAGGGGGAGAAAGGGGTGTGCAGGTGGAAGTAATAAGTTAGCATTTATATGAAATTTTCTATGCAGCAGACACTGCTCTAAGCTTTGCACATATATTAGCCATAAATGACAAGTCATATGGCCAAAGCTAAAGCAGTTTTCAGTTGGTATTTCACCACTCTAAGTAAGAGCCCTAAATGTCAGGAGCTAAGCAGTGAATTCAACCTATGCTCAAGAATCCACCACAGCTCTGTTTTCTCACCTGAGAGTAAGGGGCTTCTTTTCAAGGACACTGACTTGAGATATTTGGCTGTGGTGAGCCTGATGCTCTGTTGGATAATTACCCTGAGAAGTAAATTTTCCTGAACAAAGATCCAGAAGTTCCTCCATGTTTTCTTTCTTGTCGCTCTTCCTGGACAGAGGTTTTTCAGCCTGAGATGTGAACTTTCCCGTACACAAATCCAACAGCTCATCCATGTTGGCGTCCATGGCATTCTCATCCATACTGGCCAATGGCAATCGAGGCTTCAAAGCTTGGTACTGATTTCTGTGGTTTCTAACATTTAAGAACCTACAAGCCCAATGAAGAGTGTAAGAAATTCTCTAGGAAAAAAACAAAGTGGTGGGTGAAAAGCCCGTACTCATCGCCAATACCAAAGTTAGAAGCTGAATGCTGAACCAGAAGACAAGAGTGTCACACTTCAGCCTGTGACAATCTAAAGAGGGAGGGGGAAGTTTATGAAAGAATAAAGCCTATTCAAAAGGTAAAGGGTTTGGGACTTCCCTGGTGGCGCAGTGGTTAAGAACCTGCCTGCCAATGCAGGGGACACAGGTTCATGCCCTGGTCCAGAAAGATCCCACGTGCTGCAGAGCAACTAAGCCCATGCACCACAACTACTGAGCCTGCGCTCTAGAGCCCATGAGTCACAACTACTGAGCCTCCGAGCCACAACTACTGAGGCCACGTGCCACAACTACTGAAGCCCGTGCACCTAGAGCTCATGCTCCACAACAAGAGAAGCCACCACAACGAAGAGTAGCCCCCACTTGCTGCAACTAGAGAAAGCCCATGCACAGCAACGAAGACCCAATGCAGCCAAAATTAAAAAGTTAAATAAATAAATTTATTTTTTTAAAAGAGCCAATTCTAAAAAAAAAGGTGAAGGGTAAAGGATAATTTTTGGCTTCAAATGGTGCTAGAGTAGGGCTTGGTGTTATGGCCATGTAATGTGCCACAGAAGTGTCAATTCTCAATCTTACCTAACAATCCTAACATAGTAGGATGGATGCAGAGAAATCTGATGACCTTATAAGAGCTATGCATGTCATACGATGCAGAAATTGAAGGATCAGAATGCGCCACCAGGGAAGCCCAAGGCTATTTACTTTTAATTTTCTAGACAGACTTTGTTCAAACGTGTGGAATGTAATACTAATGGTCTGTACACCTCTCTTTCTCAGAAGAGAAAGCACAGATGGAGCGACAGAAGCTCACTTTATTTTTAAACAAAATTAAGCAGTACCCAGCACCATCCACCCACAGAAACATAAAACTACCTACCCATCTGCATCCAACAGTTGGCTCTGAGTGTCATCTTCTAAACAGAACTGGAAGTCTCCTGCTCCTAGGAAAAGTGTCTTAGGCTCTGGGGAGGCGTTATACAGATCCTGGGAATCCTCTATGGGAAGTGAAGGCTCAGACAGCTTTCCTGAACTCTGGCACCAAAACAAAACCAAACAAAAACAAAACATTTTACAAATGTCATTCACTGTCATGACAACAACAGAAGCTGCTATTTGTAAAATTTAATCTACTCTCAGGCAATTGCAGTTGAGGAGGACAATGCATAGCCAAGAGGAGCATAAAGAAAAATATTTTCAAGAAAGTAAGAACCTTGGATGAGGCTTGTTTTTAATACACAAAGCGGGGGGGACTTCCCTGGTGGCGCAGTGGTTAAGAATCTGCCTGCCGATGCAGGGGACATGGGTTCGAGCCCTGGTCTGGGCAGATCCCACATTCCGCGGAGCAACTAAGCCCGTGTGCCACAACTACTGAAGCTCGCGCGCCTAGAGCCCATGCTCTGCAACAAGAGAAGCCACAGCAATGAGAAGCCTGTGCAACGCAATGAAGAGTAGCCCCCGTTCCCCGAAATGAGAGAAAGCCCGCGTGCAGCAACAAAGACCCAACGCAGCCAAAAATAAATAAATAAAATAAATTTATATATATATAAAAATACACAAAGGGGTGGATTTTTTAAACTAAACATACACAATGTGGTGGGAGTTGTTGGCTTGAACACACTTTATTTAGCAATGTGGGAAGCAAAAGAGGAAGGAGATTAGAAAACCACTGCCATCTTACCTTAGAAGCTGAGCTGACCAAACTGGCTCGAAATAGTCCAGGGGAAGGAGATCTGAATCCTCCTGCCGTAGGGAAAAGACTGGTCCCACGGCCTGTTTGTCTGTTGCAAGGCTGATAGGATGGAATTGTGGAGCCTATCAGCTCAAAGCTGCTATTGTGGCTGCTCTCCTTTGTCAGTAATGAGCATGAATCATCTTCATCTAAAGAAAAATAACTTTTAAGTGCATGATTCCAGAAATAAGTTAGATTTGTTTAGGAAAAAGAGTTGAGAATGAAACTGTCAGGTAAGACCCATTGGCAAACCTCTCAAGTTACATGTTCCAAAACATTACATTAAAGGTCAATTACGGGGGCCCAGTGGTTAATAATCCGCCTGCCAATGCAGGGGACATGGGTTCGAGCCCTGGTCCGGGAAGATCCCACATGCCACGGAGCAACTAAGCCTGTCTGCCACAACTACTGAGCCTGCGCTCTACAGCCCAAGAGCCACAACTGAGCCTGCATGCCACAACTATGGAAGCCCGCATGCCTAGAGCCTGTGCTCCGCAACAAGAGAAGCCACCACAATGAGAAGCCCGTGCACTGCAACGATGAGTAGCCCCAGTTCACCGCAACTAGAGAAAGCCTGCGCACAGCAACGAAGACCCAACACAGCCAAAAATAAATAAATAAAATAAATTTTTTTTAAAAAAAGGTCAATTATGGTACTAAGATAACATTATATAATCAGGGTTTATCACTGTGAGCTAAGTGACACCTGAAAGTTCCTGTCTTTCTGCCTAATGCCTATGATAACTCTTTCCATTATCCAATCACTTACACATCTTCCTTTGATCTACATATGATAGAAATGTTTCATGTTTCGTTCAATCAACACACACTAAGGACCTATTACATGCTCATGGAAACTGCAGGTAAGTTTTCAAAAACTGGACCAAGAAAAATATTCTAATTCATAAATTCCTGTCATTGCCACAGGTAAGACTGGGAAAAGTCCACTAGGGTTCCAAAAAATGGAACCTTAAGGAACTGTAGTCCTTAAGTGTCAAAGCTGGAGGATCAGAGAAAAATCACGTTCTGCAAAAGAGTCACTACTTACCTAGTTTGCTAGGTCTTTTGCCTGAGTTTTCATCTATTTCTGATTTTTCTTCACTAGCAGAGTAACTACAAAATAAGAAGGTAAATTGTTTGAGTATCTGTTTCTGCTTCTTACTAGAGGGGCAAATACCAGGGAATCTTATCTTTCCTTAGAGAGAATTACTTACCCCATCTTGGAAGAGTTGTCCTTAAATAGAAGGAAGGTAGAATCTGACAACAGAGGCTTGGGGACAGAAAGAAGGCCAACTGACTTGCCAATTTCACCATTGCCATCATTGTTTTCTTTATCCATTTCTTTCTCATCTTTGGTTTCTATTTCTTCACTACCGAGAAGGAATTCTGCAATCTTTACCAATCACACAACCCCAAAACAGAATAATACAAGTCAAAAAATTTAAAAGCAAACACACTGTCAGCCTGAAATATGGCTGCTTAGTTACAAGTCACATCTTAAATCTGAAAAGGTAAACCTGAAGGAAGCTCGGTCTAACCATTATCATTAACACAATTTATGCTGACACTACTAAAGCTCTTTTATACCTACGTTACTTTACCTTTACCCTCCCCAAACTGCCAAAAGATCATGAAAGAACTGGATTATCATTTTATTGAGTCAATGAGAGGTTACATGATTAGCCTGAGATTGCAGGACAACTACTGACCTCCAACCAACCACAAACTATGACATCCTGCCCAGTTCAGCCACGGCTTTCTCTTCCTTTACCCAGGGTTAAACATTAACCAGTTCTTTTAAATGACTCCAGTGTTCAAACAAGGACGATTTTCTTTTTTCTAATATCAAAAGTCCTATCATCATCTGTTTTCTCTAGGTGGAAAACAATACTATAGAAAAAGGGCAACAGGCCCTTCTACAAATACCTTCCTCAACAAAGAATAAAATTAACTCAGGAAGGTCTTGGGCTGTCTGAGAATTTATTCCAGAACTCAACCTGGCCAAGGTTAAAAGTGCTTTTTATTCTGAATAGAGAAACCTAAATGAACAACAAAGATAAAATTTCTATTAATACAAAACCATTTCGATATTAGCATGATAGTGCAATATGTAAACCAACAGGTAGAAGCCAAGGCTATGGCTCTGTGAACTGCATGTGTTCCCTGGTGCTGAAAGGACTGAAAGCATTAATATTTAAGTACATATGAGCTACATTTATCTCTGCCCCTGAAATCTCTTATACAATTGAACATGCTCATTATATTCTTACTCAAATCTGATTTTCTCTCTTCCTTATTCATCATGATCTAGTGACAAAAATCACATAATTGCCAGAAACCTCCTGATTGCCTTCTTCCTCCTCTTCCTCCTCTTTCGCCTCTTCCTCCTCCAAAGCTTCCTCTCCCTCCTCTTCTCCGTCTTCCTCGGACTGATCCGTCATTTCTTCCTCCTCCTCCTCCTCTTCTTCAAATCCATCTTCATTATCTAACTTAAGTAATGCTTGGCGCTTTTGGCGCTCCTCAGACCTTCGGAGTTTCATTGCTTCTTGCAGCTTAGCTTTCAGCACCTGAAGCTTTTCCCCTGAACAAAAATATGAAGAGATGCTTTAGACGTAATGACCAACTACACACTACAACAACACAAGTGTCCACTTTAGGCAACTCCAGAGGTGTTCTAGACACACCCCAAAAGGAAAATCAGAGACCTTAGGAGTCTAGGCTTTTGTTATCTTAACAAATGGAGAATATCATGAATTGAGTGTAGGAGATAACTTCCATAATTATGCTCTACACCCTGGGATAATATATTACAGAGATTATAAAATTATTATTTAAAAGGGTAAAAAAAAAAAAAAGATGGGTGGGGGGGAGTTGGCCTTCAAAAGTCTATGGTTCAGAAGCCATGAAGGAAAATATTGATAAATTTATCCACATTAAAGAAAAAGAGAAACAACTCAAGAGTAAAATGGGCAAACGATATGAACTGGTAGTTCACAGAAAAATGAACATATATTGTAAATAAAATTAAAAATAATGCTTAAGGGCTTCCCTGGTGGCACCGTGGTTAAGAATCCACCTCCCAATGCAGAGGACACAGGTTCAAGCCCTGGTCCAGGAAGATCCCACATGCCGTGGAGCAACTAAGCCCATGAGCCACAGCTACTGAGCCTGTGGGCCGCGACTACTGAAGCCCACGCACCTAGAGCCCGTGCTCTGCAACAAGAGAAGCCACCACATGAGAAGCCCATGCACTGCAATGAAGAGTAGCCCCCGCTCACCGCAACTAGAGAAAGACCGAGTACAGCAACAAAGACCCAATGCAGCCAAAAATAAAATTAAAAATTATTTAAAAAAACAATGCTTAGCATCACTTCTCATTAGAAATATAAATCAAAATAATGAGATACCATTTTTTATATATTTGGCAAAAATTTGAAGGCTTGATAATATCTGTTATTAACTGGAAGAAACAGGAACTCTTATACACTGTGATTCAGAGTGTAAATCGGTGCAACTATTCTGAAGGACAATGGGATGATATATATATATATATATATATACATATATATATATATATATTTTTGACTTACTGATTCCACCGTAAGGAATTTTGCATCAAAATTTACTAACATATATCTGATACTAGGACGCAATATTGTATGAAATACCAAAACTGAAACAAACACAATGTCCATTAATAGGAGTATGGTTAAACAAATCATGTTATACTTGCACAATGGAATATCACACAGCTGTTAAAAAAAAAAAAAAAGCCCCCAAAGCAATATGTGTATCTGAACTCTTGAGTTAGGTGGTCTGGATTAGGCTGCTAGTTCTACTACTTACTAGTTATATAAATTTGAGCAAGTTGTTTAAATGCTTTGTATATCAGTTTCTTCACATATAAAATAAGGACACTAATGTTATTTGCTGTAAAGCACCTAGAGCAGTGCCTGGCAGAGAGTATAAGTATTCAATGTCTCTCTCTTTCTCTCTCTCTCACTCTCACTCACACACACACAATGGGACATGCATATGAATTTTCCCAGAACACACAAGAAATTGTTAAGTTGCCTTCAGGAAGACTAATTTTTCATTTTATACCTTTTCCTCAGTGTTTTAATTTTTTTCTATGTGATATATTACTCATATTTTCAAAGTGGGAGTGGAAACAACAGACCTGTCCCTAATACAGATTACAAAGCAGAATGCACAGTATGATTGCATTACTGTTTTATTTTTTAAACAGACATGTACTGTCTGTTTAAAAAATACATGCAAAAAGTTTAAAAGGATATAAAACATGGTTACAGAAGATGTCTCTGATAGAGAACTGTAGAGGTTTTTTGTTTATTCCATGTATTTTCTACAATGGATATGTTTTTTTAAACAATAAGACAAAGGCTAGTTTAAGAAATAATTCCTCTTACCCACCCCACACAACTAGGTAATGCTACACACATGAATCATGCTAGAGGTACTGCTGTCCCATCTCCAAAGTCTCCAAGGAAAAAGATTCTATAATGTCTCACTATAGGGTCTTCAGTAGCCATAAAGACCTGCCAGAGTACAAAGAGCCAGGCACCCATCCCCACCCCCAGCCAAAAAAGTAAACAAAGAAACCCCCATGAACGCAAATACCTGGTTTTGTGTGGCTTGCTCCATCCAGCTTCTCAGCTGCCAAAGTCACAGGTACCATATCTGCCTTGAGCTCTTCCTTTCCATCAGGGCCCACATCTTTCACTATGATGTTCACATTCACCTGAGCAGCCCTGGGTTTGGCTGCTGGATTAGCATGCTTCCAGAAACGCTGCTTCAAGGCTTCCAGTTCTAAACCAAACGCCAACCAGTACGTCAGTTTGCCTTTAAGATTCCAGTTAAGAATTACAAGTTATGTTTTTTAAGTTCTACAAACTCGTAGGGAAAAACACACACACAGGGAAATACCAAAATCTCCTTTGCTACCAACACCTGTGTCCAATTCATATAACTTAATCCAAACTAATGGACTGCTGCAACTTCCTCAATATACTTCAAAACTCATTTTAGGGTAGAAATTTACAATGAAGTTTCTAAATATTTGCAATTCCTCAGGGAGATCAGCTCCGTGCTTTGTGACCACCTAGAGGGGTGGGATAGGGAGGGTGGGAGGGAGACACAAGAGGGAGGAGATATGGGGATATATGTATATATATAGCTGATTCACTTTGTTATAAAGCAGAAACTAACACACCATTGTAGAGCAAGTACACTCCAATAAAGATGTTAAAAAAAATAAAAATAAGTATGTGCAATTCTTTTTAAAAAAGTATTAAGCTGGTAGAAAAAATACCATACTCCTCAATTATTCAAGGGCTTAATTTCTCATGGGTTTCAGTCTCCTTTTAAAAAATTCCCTTCTTTGAACATTTCACTGCTTATTAGCAATCTCACTAAATACGAGTAAGGTCAATTTAAAAAATGGAAAAAGAAAATAATCAATGCAATGAGTGATGTAAGTCAGTGGCAGGACTGGAAAAGTTTCTTCGTGAAAATTTTACATATATAATCAGTACAATCAGAAAGGAAATCCCAGTTAGAAGTGGTCCCTGTACCACATGCCCTACTTGTATATAAACGGGAATATGAATACACACACACACACACACACACACACACACACACGAAGTATGAGTTCAATGGTCTAATAGCAACAGGGCCTTTCCCTTCTTCCCCACTGCTATTGCTCAGAACTTTCTTTCTTTTCTCCCTCAGCTAGCTGCTACCTCTCTCACTCTGTTTAACAAGTCAATCATACCATAGTGGGATCTGGTGTAAAAGAGCTGACAGAAAGGAAAGGAGAGGAAGAAAAGCTCCTTTGGGGTTGAGGGATGCTGGCTATTTTCACATGCCGAGCGTTCTCTTCCATGATAAAATGTCCAAGATACTCCAAGTTTGGCTCTTTTTCTAAAATGCGCTCAAATCATACTTTAGTAGTTTTGTGCTTAGCATGTAGATGTGGGTTTTCCCTCCCTAGAGCGTCTTAGTAGAAAAAGAGAAGAACTGGAAAGAAACCTTTTAATTCTGAGTCCCTAACATTATTTATTAATAGAAAAAATCCAATCCCAAATGATGGCATGTTTACATTGCAAATCAAAGAGTAGGGAGAGAAGCTGTAAGTCTGCATCCCATTTTATATTATTTCAGTAAGTTGGAAGCAACAGGTAGTGGCAGTGGAAAGGGAACAGAAATAGGCAGCTCATCACTGGTGCCAAGAAAATAAAAGAAGTGGAAAGGGAGGAAGATTACTCAGGACCTTAAATAAGAATGAGGCAGGAGTTGCCTTCATTCTTCTGGAGAAAGCCAGGTCCCTCAAAACTCTTCATCCACCAACCCACTGGAGCACCCCTTTTCCTTGCCCTTTACTACGGGATTCAACCACCACCCTCCTCACTATAGAACCCCTCTTCAAGCTCCTCTCCCTCCATCGTCTTTTCCCTCCACCTTTCACCCCCTCTCTAAGTGAAAAGTCTCTGCTCCAGCTCATGTCTCCACCTAAAAGCCCTGCATGATCTGGCCTCTAGTCACCAACCTCCTTGCAATCTTGACTTCAGCTAACCAGAGCTTTCTCTTTTGTGTCTTTTGTAGCTCTGTCCCCTCCACGAAGAAAGCCCTCCCTCACCTCTCTGCCTTGGTATCTCCTACTCAGCTTTCAGGACTCAGCTCAGGTATGAGCTCCTTTCAGAAGCTTCCCTGACTCCTTGTGAGGAACTCTTTCTCTAGGCTCAAAGTATGCACAGCACTTAACATCCATTTTTCTGCCTGTTACTCCTACTATGCTTTAATTTCCTCGTGAGAAGGGACTACATCTTACTTGCATACACAGCACCCAACACCATGCTAAATAAAAGTTTACTGCATGAATGAATAAATGTTGATCCTAACTTCATATATTATGAAACAGGCTGATCTGGAAACCCAATATCCATGTCAAATACTATTTCTGAAGGAAAACATATTCTGAGTTAAAAATAAGTGCCTACTATGAGCCAGGCATTGTGCTAGTTCCCTGTATAAGCCAAGTGTATGTTGGAAAAACTACCCAACCTCTCCAAACCTCAGGCTCTTCATTTGCAAAATAGTATCTGGGGCTATGAAAATTAAGATAACTAATAAAAAGATCTATCAGTGTCTAATATAGTAGGTATGCAAAAAAAAAAAAAAAAAGGTTTCTTCCCTTTTCTGTTTCTCAGTCTGAGACTGTTTAGAAAACTTCTAGTCCCATATAACAAAATTTCACAGTATTAATATAGTAAGTACTCAAAAAGTTCTACCGCACCTTTTAGTCTGAGACTATTTAGATAACTTCTAGTCCCACACAACAAAACTTTCATTCCCTGTTCTGGGCAACAGCTTATTTCCACGCTTCTTTGCTAACAGAGCTATGCTAGTTGTTACAAAACCCTTCCACCCCCCAACTGCTCTGGTCAAACTGACTTACACGTCCTCCCAATATGCACCACACAGAGCTCTTTCTGTCCCTTCTAAGAACGTCCTTCTCTCCACTTCCACAAAGTCCACCCATTCAATCAACAAAGACTGATACTATGCCCTACACCTTTCACCTCCTCTCTAAGTGAAAAGTCTCTGCTCCAGCTCATGTCTCCACCTAAAAGCCCTGCATGATCTGGCCTCTAGTCACCAACCTCCTTGCAATCTTGACTTCAGCTAACCAGAGCTTTCTCTTTTGTGTCTTTTGTAGCTCTGTCCCCTCCACGAAGAAAGCCCTCCCTCACCTCTCTGCCTTGGTATCTCCTACTCAGCTTTCAGGACTCAGCTCAGGTATGAGCTCCTTTCAGAAGCTTCCCTGACTCCTTGTGAGGAACTCTTTCTCTAGGCTCAAAGTATGCACAGCACTTAACATCCATTTTTCTGCCTGTTACTCCTACTATGCTTTAATTTCCTCGTGAGAAGGGACTACATCTTACTTGCATACACAGCACCCAACACCATGCTAAATAAAAGTTTACTGCATGAATGAATAAATGTTGATCCTAACTTCATATATTATGAAACAGGCTGATCTGGAAACCCAATATCCATGTCAAATACTATTTCTGAAGGAAAACATATTCTGAGTTAAAAATAAGTGCCTACTATGAGCCAGGCATTGTGCTAGTTCCCTGTATAAGCCAAGTGTATGTTGGAAAAACTACCCAACCTCTCCAAACCTCAGGCTCTTCATTTGCAAAATAGTATCTGGGGCTATGAAAATTAAGATAACTAATAAAAAGATCTATCAGTGTCTAATATAGTAGGTATGCAAAAAAAAAAAAAAAAAGGTTTCTTCCCTTTTCTGTTTCTCAGTCTGAGACTGTTTAGAAAACTTCTAGTCCCATATAACAAAATTTCACAGTATTAATATAGTAAGTACTCAAAAAGTTCTACCGCACCTTTTAGTCTGAGACTATTTAGATAACTTCTAGTCCCACACAACAAAACTTTCATTCCCTGTTCTGGGCAACAGCTTATTTCCACGCTTCTTTGCTAACAGAGCTATGCTAGTTGTTACAAAACCCTTCCACCCCCCAACTGCTCTGGTCAAACTGACTTACACGTCCTCCCAATATGCACCACACAGAGCTCTTTCTGTCCCTTCTAAGAACGTCCTTCTCTCCACTTCCACAAAGTCCACCCATTCAATCAACAAAGACTGATACTATGGCTGACCTAGCACCTGCCAACCATATGTTAGTTAATGATGGAGAGTCTTGATGTAAATAATTTCACTGATAATAGAAAAAGCAGCCACCATTTGAGCGTTTCTTTATGCTATCCACTTGTATGCATTATTTCAACAAATCTTCACTAAAGCCCTGTGAACCAGATACCGTTACTTCATTTTTTAAAAAAGATGCCTTGGGGCTTCCCTGGTGGCGCAGTGGTTGGGAGTCCGCCTGCCGATGCAGGGGACGCGGGTTCGTGCCCCAGTCCGGGAAGATCCCATATGCCGCGGAGCGGCTGGGCCAGCGGGCCATGGCTGCTGAGCCTGCGCGTCCAGAGCCTGTGCTCTGGGGCCACAACAGTGCAAGGCCCGCGTACCGCAAAAAAAAAAAAAAAAAAAAAAAGATGCCTTGGAGAGGTCAAATAGCAGACTCAAGTTTAAACACTGAATAGTATAATCCAGATTCAGATCCCAACCTTGCTATAGAGCCTCAGCTCTTAATTATCATATCACATTGCAGAGGAGGGAACACCTAATTTTACCGACAAGTCAGGAAGTGTACCCAATGTGGGTAATACTTGATTTCTCTCTTGAAGGATCATTCATTCATTCTTTCATTCATTCAGTAAACATGGCTGCCTAAAATGTGTCATCCACTGTGGAAGCACAGGGGACAGAGTAAGGAACAAGCCAGAAGATCCCTACTCAAAGTATAAAGGGGAAGGTAGTGAACAAGTAATTATATCCACTTATTCTTTAATCACCTATTGTAAGAAACTTATCCCTCCTCTTTACTCCTATGATTCTTTACTCTAAATGTTTCTTTCAGCAAAGAATACTCTTCCCTTTTCTCCATGTTATTTAACTTTTTCCAATTATCAGTGACACATGTTCATGATAGAAGATGTCACTTCCTTGTATTACTGTTATTTGCCTACTTCTTATCTCCCCGGGTAGAGCGTAAGTACCTTAAGTGTAGGATAGACGTCAGATTTCTCAAGTATGCCTTACAGCAACTTGCATGTAGTGGATAGTTTAATACTTGTTGAATGAATGAAAAGAAAGAAAAGAAATTCAGTTTTGCAGACAATTTGCTGAACCAAGATATTTCTAACTGTGAAAAACTGAATAATGCTTTTATCAAAGTCATACCATAAAACAACAGCAATGTACCCTGCTTTGTACATTAACTATCAACAGGTTTCCATTTAAACAAGGTTTAGAACATTCTAATACCCTGCCAAATGTATCTAAATGATTTCTATCTGGTATCTGGTACATCTGCCGAATAAGACCATGTGTGATTATTTGTTTCTCCTGTATTCCCTGTCCTCCACAGTGGCAAATACTAGAAAGCTGCCAGAACAAATCACTCTAGAGAAGCTCCTCACAATTCAAAGGATTACCTCTGTTGGTTTCAGGTTCTTCAAGTATCACAAAAGAATCTTTGTCAGCACCCAGCCGAGGCTGAACGAAAACATCTACTCCCAGTTGCTTCAGTCTATCCACAGTGAACCTCCTCACTTTTTCAGGTGGCACCACTGCTGCTGATTTAGTTTGCTGGCTGGGCTCTTCCACCTTCTCATCTGCTTCTTCTGTTTTTTTCAGGCCTTCTTCTTCCTCCAGGGCACAAGGTTCAGGTGCCACAAGCCCTCCAGCATGATACTCCTCACTGTCCTTATTCCCAAGGAAGCTGCATTCCTGTTGTGCCACCGAGATGTCCCCAGGTGAAGGTCTAGCATCACTCTGCTCCTGTTTCTCGGGAATTTCTAGCTCTTCACTTCCTGTCAAATTCTTACTGCAAGACTCATCTGATCCAGTAGTGACCTGGGGTTCCTTTGAAACTGCAGGGAGTGCATTAATTTCCATTTCATATCCTGCACCTGTTGTCTGCTCAGAATCTTTGCTATGGTGGTCACTATTTACCTCAGTTGTATTTTCAGTGTCTGTGATTTCTTTGTGATGGCTTGCCTGATACTTAGATGACCTAGAGAAGGGAAAATAACCTGGAGTTGAAAATTATCCTAAACGTGAAACATTATACCTTAGCACGTAATGAATCGTTTAAATCAATTTAAAGGAAGTGAGGAATCTGAACTCTTTACACCAAGTGTTTGCCTCAGAACTGAATATTTATGAAAATTATAATCACAAGGAAAGAAGCTTCTTACTTCAGCAGTGCCATGGCATTTCCCTGGCAAGTGGGCCGGGGTTTACGTTTGAAGAATTCATGAACAGTTTTATTCTCAGGCATATGATATGGAAGATTAAGTGCAGACTCTATAAAATGGAAGAAAACAAGCAAATACATATACTGTACATTCTGAAATGTCACTTTTCAATCAGTTAACTAAACAACCAAAGCCATCCCCAGAAATAGAAAACAAACCTGCCTTTAATAAAAGCAGGATCCAACTACAAAAAAATTCCCTGAAGACCAGTGGCTTTTAAAACTAGCTGTGAAATCAAATTGATCCAGTAAGTTTTTCAAAAATAGAGATTCTTGGACCCCATTTCAAGCCTACCGAATCAGAATTTCTGCGGGGCCTAAGAATTTATAAATTCGAAAGGTTTGTAAAAGGGATCCTGATGCAGCCAGGCCATAGACAACCCTTTAAAAAACTCCCTCATTACCACCACTACAGTTCCGGAAATTTTCTCAGTTTATACTAATGTTCCAGGGGCTTCAGAACAATGGCCATTCATCAAGATCAATTCTAAACTTGATTATTATAATCTCATTCATATTAAGATTGTTAAAAAAAAAAGAAAGTCCCCAACATCCAAGTTGAGCTTACAAAGAAATAATGTGATTTGCCTCAGTGTTTACCATACAGGTTTCCTTACCTCGAATAAGGCGCTGAGTCTCACTATGCAATTTTTTTAATGCTTCCTTACTTAACTTGGCCGCCTTTCTTTCCTTAAAGAAAACAAAAAGTGAGACTACATTAATGCTATTATCCAGAAAGATTGATAGATATTCATCCCATAAAAGTCTGCTCTCTCCAAGAAAAGAGGATGGACAGGGAACAGTAAGCATTAATAAGATCAAAACAATATAAACTTCAGGAGTTCATTTATTTCCAAGTCTCACAGAATTAATTCAATCCAATTCATATTTGTGTCCCTAGTATGCACAAAGCAATATCCTAGGAATCAGGGTAATACGATAGACACAATAAAACTCCTGAAAAACCCACAATCGCCTGGGAAAAGAGCTCAACATGACAACTATATAGGGCTCTATGTCACCTTCCTCGTGGTGCCTTTTGATAACTCAGTTTCTTCTTCAAATGAATAGACCTCACTCTCCAAAGATGGTTCCTTTCTCTAAAAGAGAAGATTGCAAATGGATTAACAGGGAAAAAAATTAAACTGACACAAGAGGATGTTGCTTACGCAAAGACTGCTTTTGCAATCCAACATCACATCATGCTACATTAATGCTAAATCAATAATTATCAAATATAAAATGTTAGTCACACAGCATCCTCTAATGCCTAGAAAACACATTAGTTGTCTCCAATGGAGCTTGGGCCCTCATTTCTTGCACCTATTACATCTTTCCCTGAGGAGGGACAATGACTTGCAGGAAGCTAATCTCAGGAAGAATGATTATGCTTCCAAACACTCAGGACAACTATGCTTTTTTTTTTTTTGCGGTACACGGGCCTCTCACTGCTGTGGCCTCTCCCATTGCGGAGCACAGGCTCTGGACGTGCAGGCTCAGCAGCCACTGCTCACGGGTCCAGCCGCTCCGCGGCATGTGGGATCTTCCCAGACCGGGGCACGAACCCATGTCCCCTGCATCGGCAGGCGGACTCTCAACCACTGCGCCACCAGGGAAGCCCGGACAACGATGCTTCCACTGATGCTTCTCTTTGATACCTTTCCAGAAACCCTATAGGTTCATTTCCTAGAGGCCACCAGATTATAAAATTTACATCTCTGACCCCTTTTTTACCTGTTTCTTACAAAACATAAAGTATCTTACTTTCCTCAACATTCTTATTAGGGCAATGAAAATACTAGTTCCCAAACAACGTAGCACGTCCATCACTTGTACTGCATAATTCCAAAATTAACAGCTGAAAAACTGAAATCAATTGACACGTGTTTTTCTTCAGTTAAAAAAAAAAAAATAAGGTTCCAACAGTAAATCAGAAAACAAAGCAAAGGTTAGCTCTAATTGCAGTCATCTTTTACTTGCCTTGTGCTTTTTTACTTTGTTTTTCACAGCTTCCCTTATTGATTCTAATGACTCTTCATCTTCTAATGGAGAGTTATTTTCCTCCTCCAACCCAGTTTCAAAAAGGTCTTTATCCACAAGTAGACATCCACTGTCATTAAATAGCTGTTTCACATCATCTTCCTGGGTAACACAAAGAAAAAGCAAGATCCAATCATTTTAAAATCCAATGTTTTACAATACCATATAGCAATTTGCTTCAGGGCAGAAAAAGCTCATGCTTCATCAATAGACAAGTATATGGCATCCTAGAACATTATCACTGGTTCCTAATCCATAGTCATCCTTTGAAGTCCATGCTGTGATTTTACACAATTGTCCAAAACTAACTTAATAAATAGTACACTTGTTTTTGAAAAGTCAATTAAATACTTCATTAAACAACTAGCTTATAAAATTTGGGGATGGTTTTTCCAGTTAGCAAACAAGACTTTTGACTGATGGAGGCATGAAAAAATCCTATGAAAGTTAATTTTCATCAGATCAGAAACAGCAAAAAATAACTCCACGTGCTCACAAAGAAAATCAGAAACCCATTTATTTGGAAGGTGTCCTCTCATATCCAAAATGGAGAATGAGACCAATGGATTTGAAATCACATACCTCACTGCAAGACAATCAACTCGAAAGTATATCCTGCGTGCAGAAACAACCTCAAGAACTAAAAGCAACCTTTTTTCCTAAAAGCAACTTTTTCTAAAACATTAACCTGCCTTAGAAACAGCAAATTATTCTTTTAAATGTACCTCATTTTTTGTTTCCTTCTTTTTCAGCTGCTTAATTTTTTCCATCTTTCTCTCCTCTTTCTTGAGTCTTCGCTTTGATTTTACTTTTGCTTTTCCTCCAATTCCTTCTTTATCATGTATGGGTTTTTTGGAAATCTTTCTGTCAACTGTAAAATCCATAGAGTTTTCAGGTTGGAGACTCAGCTCTAAGCAAGGTGTCACTAGGGTTTCAAGATTTTCCTGACACAAAGACTCCTCGATGTCACTCTCATCACTGTTCACCAGAGTTCTGTAAATCCTTCTGACTTTTCCATTTTTTCCAGCATGTAAGTTCTCCTTATCTTCCTCCTCTATATCGTCATAGGTAGTTTTCTCTGGAGAGGCATTTGTGCCCTCTTGTTCAGAATCACTCTCTTGTAGCACCTTCCTGCTTTTCAATTTCTTACTCACAAATATCTCTTCATCTGAATCTGGAGGAAACACAATTTTTTTAGAGTCTACCGTCATTGGCCTTCTTCCTAGTCCCCGTACTCCTCAAAAACATATCCAATTAGCCAAGTGATATATCACCTTGTGAAATTATGTAACTAACACTAAGAACTGACTGTAGCAAAGCAAATCTAAAAATATATTTTGAAAACCATTTTCCCTGGAAAGATATCTCTTACTAAGAAATGTAATTATATATATTTACAATGTGTAAAGCTGTTCTGATCCTTCTGGCAGGTGTTAAAAGTCCTTTTATTATAGGATGAATGCATTCAACCAGGCAATATGGTATCTTCTAGACACTTTATACATTCAATAATATAATAGAAATGGTTATTTTCAAAAGGGTACAAGCACTATTATTTTGCTTTTATAGTAAATAGAACAAACAAGGTTAAGCATTAATAATTTAATAAATCAGAGAATAATGAAATTAATCCAGTCCCCTTACAACCCAAGCTGCCACATTCTATTCCTAAAAATAAAAGTACTGACTATTACAAACCTTGTTCACTCAAGAGCCCAACTGTTTCACAGCTGCCCTGTCCACTGTCTGAAGGACTATCTGCTTCTTCTTGTGAAATGAGTTTTGAATCATTGATTTCTAGGTAAACCTAGAAAATGAGAATATACTTTGTATTAACCAGCAGGTGACAGAAAGCTCTAAGTACATAAAGACACATAAATTATCATGGGATCATCAGGCTGAAATAAGGAAAAAACAATACAGTGGTTTAACAAAAGGATGACATTAAGAATTACTGGACATGGGCTTCCCTGGTGGCGCAGTGGAGAGTCTGCCTGCCAATGCAGGGGACATGGGTTTGTGTCCCGGTCCAGGAAAATCCCACATGCTGCGGAGCGGCTGGGCCCGTGAGCCATGGCCGCTGAGCCTGCGCGTCCGGAGCCTGTGCTCCACAACGGGAGAGGCTACAACAGTGAGAGGCCTGCGTACCGCAAAAAAAAAAGAATTACTGGACAGGACTTCCCTGGTGGCGCAGTGGTTAAGAATCCGCCTGCCAATGCAGTGGACACGGGTTCAATCCCTGGTCCAGGAAGATCCCACATGCCACAGAGCAACTAAGCCCGTGAGCCACAACTACTGAGCCTGCACTCTAGAGCCCGAGAGCCACAACTACTGAGCCCATGTGCCACAACAACTGAAGCCACACACCTAGAGCTCGTGCTCCACAAAAAGGGAAGACCCCGCAATGAGAAGCCCACACACTGCAACGCTCGCAGCAACTAGAGAAAGCCTGCGCGCAGCAATGAAGACCCAATGCAGCCAAAAATAAATAAATAAAATAATTTATAAAAGAAAAAAAAAAGAATTACTGGACAAGAAAACAAACTAAAATTCATTGTTCACCTTTGAAGGCTATTATAGGACCAACTCTTTATTTTGAGTTATGGTAAATAAATGTAAAGAATCAAGCACTTATTGCATTTTACTATGTGAAGGTTTCTCAGTGTATCCAAATGACATGATAAATAACATCACAGAGAGGCAATCCAGGTGTGGGAAACTCTACAGGACAAACTGTGGTTTCTTTAACAGTAAATTGCAAGAAAAAAGAGAGCAAGGGGGACTTATAAAGAGAGTAAAGATATTTACACACACACATATCACCGACTGCAATATGCAGGGGCCATGTTCGGATCCTAATTCAAACAAACTGAAAGTATATGTATGAGTCAAAGAAATCTGAACACTGATTAGCTATTTAATATCAAACAGTAATTCTAAATTTTTTAGGTATGGTAATAATATAGTAGTTATCTTTTTTGGAAAGCCCTTACCTTTTGGAGATGCATGATGAAATATCTGTGGATGAAATATGTGTGGAATTTGCTGCCAAATAATCCAGTAAGGGGGGAAGTGGGTATAAATGAAACAAGATTGGCATGATTTGATAATTGTTGAAGTTAGGTGATGGGTTCATTATAACAGCCTTTCGATGTTTATGTCTGAAATTCAGCACCCCCCCAGAATGTTTTTAAGTCACAAGTGAAAAATCTAAGGAGACCGGGGTATGTTGGGTGACTTGACTAGTTAGTGACCAAGCTTAGTTCATAGAACTCTGAATCAACTTATTAATAAGGGGAAAATACATCTGTAATGTAATAGGTCACAAGGCCTCACCCTAATGGCTTCTCAAACAACTGTTAAATTGATTTGAATGTTTAGTACAATTATTAAAATTATAACCAAAAATAACATGAACAGAGGAATATCACCGAGGATCATGATGTATATGCTGATGATCCTCCCAACAATGGAAAGCAGTAAGACTATTTGTGGACATGGAAACTGAGTTCAGGTAACCACATAGCTCAATACATGGTGATACTCTTTTTTTTTTTTAATATAGATTTATTTATTTATTTTTGGCTGCATTGGGTCTTCGTTGCTGCCCGCGGTCTTTCTCTAGTTGCAGCGAGCAGGGGCTGCTCTTTGTTGCGGTGCGCGGGCTTCTCACTGCGGCGGTCTCTCCTGTTGTGGAGCACAGGCTCCAGGCGCACGTGCTTCAATAGTTGTGGTGCATGGGCTCAGTAGTTGTGGCTCATGGGCTCTAGAGCGCAGGCTAAGTAGTTGTGGCACACGGGCTTAGTTGCTCCGCAGCATGTGGGATCCTTCCGGATCAGGGCTCGAACCCGTATCCCCTGCATTGGCAGGCAGATTCCCAACCACTGCGCCACCAGGGAAGCCCCATGGTGATGCTCTTAATCACTGTATTCTAGGCAATCTGCAGAACCAGCGACAGTCAGGGCCAGGAACAGGGTGAGGCTAGAAGGTCTCAAAACACTCAGTAATCAAGATATTTTAGTGCAATACTAAAATAAAAAATCAAACGGACAAATTATGACTCATGAGGTCAGCTGCTTGCTTTTGTAAATAAAGTTTTTTTTGAACCAGGGCCAGGATGAGTGTGAGGTGAGTGAGACAGAGTAGTGCAAACACAGGGTCGGATCTTGTCTTCATTTCAAAGTTTGATATTTTGTTCAAAATCAAATAATGGAATTTTTTGCATTAATTTTTATTTTTAAAAATACTGCATTAAAATATTATCTTGAACCACAAGGTCCTACTGTAGAGCACAGGGAACTCTATTCAATATCCTGTGATAAACACAATGGAAAAGAATAAGAATGTACATATATGTATAACTGAGTCACTTTGCTGTACAGCAGTAATTAACACATTATAATTCAACTATACTTCGGTAAAAATTAATTTGAAAAATTATCTTGATGCGCCCCGTTAAATTTTGCTCCCAAGACGAGTGTCTCACTCCAGTCCCAGCCCAGAAAAGAACACATCTGGAAACAGATGTCGTTTCTACGCCAATTCCGACAGCGACTAGCCAGTCACCTCCCGGAAGGCTCCGAGACTGGTACCTTCACCTCTCGGAACCCTGTATGATGACCTCAGAGGCCTCTTCCAGACCCAATTTCGAAGTCTCTAAGACTCTTGCCGTCCATTTACAGTTAATGCTGCCCCTCACCCTAGAGGCCCGGTTCGGCCTGGTCCTTCCTCCTTTTTGGGGCGCAGTTGGAGGAAGACCCCCCGCCGCAGGAAACGCGCCAAAGGGGCGGGATGAGCAGGCTGAGCAGAGGCTGGCGGCGGGCTGCGCGCGCCGCAAAGACCAGGAGCAACCTCCCCGAGGGGACCGAGGCGCGGGGACCCCAGCGCCGGGATCGACCGCGGGGTCCCGAGCGCGCGGGGCCTGTGGTTTTATCTCGGCGGGGCCGCGAAACCGAGCCGCCACGGTGCACGCCGGGAGCTGTAGTCCTCCCAGCCTCCACGACCCACACGGCCGGCTCGACCGCTGCCCCACCCCACCCCACCCCTCCGCGCCGGGCCTCCGCAGCTTCAGATAGAGGCAAGTGCATAAACTCACCTCGGAAACCACTTCTCCCGTCATGACTCCGGCCTCCGCAGCGCGCCGCTCGGGAAGAAGCAAGTCTCCGCTTCCCGCACCCGGGACGCAGCCGCTCCCACAGTCTCCTGCCAGGCAGCGGCGTTCGAGCTTTCGCGCCCAGCCGGAGTGGATGCTCCGCCCTCAACGATTTGCACCAATCCGGAGGAGTCTTTCTACATGAGGCCACGCCCCCGCCCTATCCTACCAATCGAAGCTCCTTCGGCCGGCCCGTTGAATATAATCTGGGTTAGGTTGGCGGGTCGCGGCTCCTCTTGTCAACTGAGGCTGGGGGAGGCTGGAGGTGTCCTGTTACCGTGAGAGCGGTGATCTTTGACCTTTAACCCTTACCGTAGCGCGGCAGCTCCCATCAAGCGCGTTTTGAGGAGTAAGCCCTCCAGGCGGGAAGTGAGCCAGAAGATCCCTAGGCACCTGAAGTCATCCCCGTGGGGACTTTCTTCAGGACCTCCTTTCCTGGAGCAGCTGGATCCCACCTGCTCCTTCTTGTACATGGCATTCACGCCACTGGACATCAAAAAAGAAAAGTTTTGTGGGCTGCTCAGATACCAAAGAATATCCTTGGATAACCTTTATTATTTTACTTAAGGTTAATTCGAGTATGCAGAAAACACACTCATCCCACTTCCATACTCTTTGGACAAGGCAGGAAAAAAAATAAAATGTCTGGAATCAGACTAATCCCAGACAGTTCTAATCCCTTGTCATTGTCCTGGTTACTATCTTTTTGGCCCTTCAGGTCCATTCTCTCTCTTTCCTTATCCTGCTCTGTCCAGGCAAGGCTGACTTCTCCCCACTGCATTATTCGAGCTCCCTTGCCCTCCAGATTCTTGTCGAGTCTAGCTACTGGAAGATATTTACAAGATTACTGTAAGGAAGAGATGAGTGCACCAAGAAAGAAAGGTCACCTTTACCTCCCCCACTTCACCGGCCGTGATCCTATCCACTGACAGGGTGACCAACTCATTCCAGTTTTCCCAGGACTTGCCCAGTTTTAGCATTGAAAGTCCCACCTCCCAGGAATCTCCTCAGTCCCAGGCAAACCAGGATGGTTAGTCACCCTATCCACTGGCCTCCTTTTCCAAGTTTCCAGCTTTAGCTGAGTCCAGATAAAAGTTCTGTCTCCTCATTTTCATTTCTTCACCTCCTTTCAACCCATGTCTGCTCCCACCAACAAGATCCCATCTTCCATCCTCTTCTCTCACATCTCAGTCTATCCACTTTTTCATGTACTTTACTATTAATTTTTACATTGATGATTCCTAAATATACATCTACACACCCTTCCCTCATATTTGGAGGGCTAACATTTATTGGGGGCTTACCTTGAGACAGGAAACAGTTACAAGAATTTTGCAAGCATTATCTTATTTAATCTTTAGAGTAACTTTGTAAGGTAATAATACTATCTCCATTTTAGCAGTTGAGGAAACTAAACCTTTCAAAGGCTAGTAACTGGTGGAGCTGATATTCACACCCTGCTCAGTCTGACTCCAGTGCTCATACTCCTCAGAGGGACCTTGCCTGCACACCCTCTACATTCTCCCTCCATCCCCTGTACTGGTTTCCCTGATAGCACTTACCTCTGCCTGAAGTTTTATTTTTGTGTGTTTGTATATTGTTGCTTCAAGATGACAAGCACTTTTTTTTTGCTTTAACACCATATGCTCCTGATCTAGAATAGTCATTCTCAAACTTGAGCATACGTCAGAATGACCTGAAGGGTTTGTAAGAACAGATTTTTGGACCCCATTCCCAGAATTTCTGATTCAGTATGTCTGATGTGAGGGCCAAGAATTTGCATTTCTAACAAGTTCCCAGGTGATGCTAAAGCAGCTGGTATGGCCATCACACTTTGAGAACCAAGGGCTTAGAGCATACCTGGATCATGGTAGAGAAATCAATCAATATTTGTTAATCTAATTAACTCAGTCGCTTGACAACTATATTATTCTTCTTGAATTCCCTCTGGGAAGTGAATAAATGAGGTGACGCTCCTGACATTAACATTTTCAGAACGATTAGCATTTTCCTTTCTGTGGAGAGCACTTCTTTAGTCACCTGAGAAACTAAGAGAGCTCCGATTTGGACAATAGGTGGAAGGAGTGAGCTAGGAAGGGGAAACTTTTTATTCTATATATTAACTTGTGCCAAGCTAAAGCAAGTCTGTATTTGAAATTAGCAATCTATATTCTCAGTTTTGGTGAGAATATAGCACCGTAATCCAAGTTACCAATTCAGAAATCTGGAAGTCATGTTGACTCCTCTCTGTCTCTTGATTCTCAAGATTAATCATCCAACAAACTCTGTTTATGAAGTTGATAGATGGCAGTGAGGGAAAGATCTGGAGTGTTCACTTTGCAAGGATGAGCCTGAACCTATTGCATAAATGGCTTTGTGATCTTAAGTAAGTCATTTAGCTTCTCAGTGCCTTGTTTTCTTTATTTGTAATTAGAAATTAGAATTAATTAAATTAGAAATTGGATTAGATCATGATTCTCAAATGGGTTTGATTGGCAGAGCACCTGGAAGTTAGGTACTCTACAGGAAATACTTTACAATACTGACACACTTATTTTGGTCATAGAATTTGAGAAATTGTTTCACTGGTAGAATCTATCCTTATATCACAAAAAATCAATATAAGAAAGCAATTATGAAAAAATAAGCCTTGTAATTTAACACGCTCAGCCCAGTCCAAAGTTCTATTTATATTTCCTTTCTGGCCAACAAATAAAAGCAGGTTCCAAAGGCCCACAAAAGTTTGGAGGGAGAAAGTTGATTAAATTATATGTTTTACTTCATCTTTTCTGCAAATTGAGAGAGTCTACCATGTTAAATTTTTAGTACTCTTCCTCCTCTGGAGTTTAAATGTGAGAACATGCTTTTCTGAAGTCCTAGGCCACGAAATCCTCATCCCTGGAGAAGCACTGCCACCATGTGGCAGGGATTGGTCATGTCATTCCATCTATTACCTGTAGCCTGTAGTCACTCTATCCTTTTTTTTTTTCCTTCATTTTAAAATTATTCAACAAGTTGTTTAAATTTTCCTTTGGAATGGTGAAATAATTACATCTCCCAGAATCTGCTTTCAAAAATAATTTTGTACTGTAATTCCTTATAGTTGTAAAGCTTCTCTTGGAGAGTACCTGCTTGAAGGCCAAGGCTGTTTTTCTTGCTGGATGTCCACTATCCACTGACCTTTAAAAATGGCACAGGACCTGACACGTAGTGGATGATTAATAAATCATTGTCGAATGGATTATTAAAATACACCTAAAAAACAAAACCGAAAAATACCAGGGCCTCTTTCCGAGGCATGACAGCACACACACCATCAGCTATTTTGTACGCAGAAGCTCCTTTACTGCAACTTTTGGTAAGCTAAAGTACAAAAACGTATCAAATATCCATCTATTCCTTCAACAACCTTGAGCCCCTATTTAAGCTTACGCTAGACACAGAGAATATGAAGATAAACAAAATATAGTCTTGTTCTCAGAGAGTTTCCCATTGCTGGTTGAAGACAGGCAAGTAACTAGGCATGTGTAATGGAAGAAGTGTATACAAGCAGCTGTGGGGGCCCTGAAGCAGGGGAAACTGATTTTGCCTGGGGCAATTCAGGGGGACATGACGCCTGAACTGAGTTTCAAAGATGGATTGGAATTCTCCAGGCTGGCATGAGGAGGAGAAGGTATTCCAGGTATTTGTAGGGGCTTGATAAAGCATGTTGTGCTGGGGAACTGAAAGTAGGTCAGTGCGTCTAGAGCACAGAAGTGTGTGTTTGGGGGAGGGGGACGGATGGCCAGAATGAAGGCTGAAAGTTAAACAGGGCACAAAAATTCTGGAGTGCTATTAGTTTTTAGACGGTATGAACTGGGCAGCTGGTGGATGGGGGTGTTGTTAAGAAGGAGGGCAACATGGTTAGATATGTGCTTGAGAAAGATTATTCTGGCAGCATATGAAGGATGGATTGGAAGGGGATTAAACTGCAGGCAGGAACACCAGTTGTCTAGGTGGGAGATTATAGGGACCTGAACTAGGTCAATGGTAGTAACAATAGAGAGGAGGAGATGGATTGGAAAAAAAAGAGGCAAAATTGACAGGGCTTGTTGATGATTAACCTTGAGGGGCAAGGGACAATAGAGTCAATGTAAAACTAGTGACTTTTAGGTTTCTAGATTGCTTGAGTGACAGATTAGGGTGCCAGTCACCAAAATTGAGAATATAGGTCACTAATTTCAAGTACAGACTCACTTTAGCTTGGCACAAGTTAATATGTAGAATAAAAGGTTTCCCCTTCCCAGGTCACCCCTGTCTGCCCCTTGTCCACATTGGAGCTCTCTCTTAGCTTTTCTGGTGACTGAAGAGGTATTCCCCAGGCACAGGTCCTTATCTCCTTTCTAGTTCCAAACTTCTATCTGTGCAGCATCCAAAACCTTGACCCAGCAGCTTTTAGTACTCCATTCATATATTTTCTCTTCAATTCCCTTTTCCTTTCTAGCTACCTACCCAGGAAAAATGTATAAGAGAAATTCCTCTGCCCTGCTTTATTCAGTTTTCTGCCCAGGCTTTTTGCTTCAGTTTTTGTAAAAACCCAAGTGTTTTTCACAATCCAACCCTACCCTAAGCTTTATAGAAACTTAATGGCTTTTGGTGTGAGTAGTGTTTATTTAGATATTAGCATCCTCAGCACTTGGGGTCAACCCATATATGTATGCTTGGAGGAAGGGGATTCCATTACAGAAGGACAAAGGGGGTCTGCTCCACTCCTAATTTCTAGTATATTTCAGCAAATTGGGTAGGCTAGTGCCTGACATTCTTCAGACATGCCAGATAATTCAGCTGTACCTAGGAGGGCACAGACTTACAGGAATAGAGTAACTTCTTCAAGAACGATGTAGTTGGAGTGGGGAAGGAACACTTCCTAAGACAGGAGGTGGTACTGGACAGACAAAACAATATTGTTCCCACTGTAGTCCCAAAGG